TGCAACTTCAAAACAGTAAGAAAGCTTTCTGTACATGATGGCTAACAAATAACACGTGCTGCGGTAAAATCATATGAGAGCGCTAATAGCCTTAAGGAGGGGCCTTGTTAACGTCCCAAGTCCTGTGAACTGTATACATGAGAATACCTTGTCAACACCCTGTAAACCCTTGTTCTTACCTGTCAAGCACACGACGCAAGTACCATGTCGCCAAGCTTGACGAAAGTTTACAGGGTACTTGACAGGAAAAAAAAGAAAACAAAGACCAGAACACAATGAGAAAGCTTACATGTTTGACCCCCCCCCCAAGGTTATTGGCGCCTCATATATGCATTAGAATGTTCGCATATGGATTAATTCTAGAATAAACGTTTTTCAAAAACACTTTCCGCGACAAGTAGATGAATGAAATAAGGCGGAGGCTCACAGTACTGTACCTTCCTGTCTTCCCTACCTCTTATACTGTAATGAGATAAAAACGCTCTAACGAGTAACGCTCAGTGGTTGTAAGTCCCCGCCCCCTCGATGATCGCGGAAATTGTCTTTAACCAGACTTTACTCAACAGTAAGCTGGTTCGTCTAAGCTAATAGGCCCACTAGACTATTTTTCAATTTGTCTACACGTATATTTTGTATATGCACTAATGTATTTTGGAACATGTATCCATGATACTGGGGAGGGGGGAGGCTGTTGGACATACGTTTTACCTGTTTTGGGCGCCCAGTTTCCCAGCAGATCCATAATTTACTGAAGATCAAGGAAAATTTCGTGATTACCGGATGGTGGAGACTCACAACAATAGAAGCTTCCTCACTGATTACGCCCCTGCTCTTCGTCATATTAGAAGGAGAGTCGCGCCAGTGAAGGCCACACATTGGTTATAAATCTCCTCCCTTCCGTTATCTAGGATTTTTTGGCGCAGTTCGGCTTGGTGGGGGCATCAAATGGTTCTCGGTGAACCCTTACAGGTAACCTTTTGTGAACACCTGTAGATTCTGGTAATTAAGGTGACTCACTTATACCATTCTCCAGGTTTACAGGAGCTTCCGTGTTTCACCAAAAAGAGACCTTTCACTTAACTTGAACCAACAAAAGTGCAAAATGCCCCTTCCAGGCCGATCGGCGCCAAATTTTCTGAACAACAGGCCTTGACCCTCTCCGCCATCTGTACATGTTTCTATGATGTACAAGAAGGAAAACGTGCTGAAAATGAGTCGATGAGCAATGGAAGGCATTATGGGCAGATTCACAGAGGCTTGAATGCAAGAACATAACGACAGAAAAAGACGCCGGATAACACGTCCATTATGAAAAGTGAGGTAGAATTCTTGAATTACTACCTATGTTTTTGAATATCAGAATTCAGCGCATACAAGGCGTATGTCATTGCCGTTTGAATTCAACCTACTGTCGTTCATGGTGCTTGTAAGACAAGTTCCACGTATTGACAGGGATTGATATCGATGAATTACTATCCGAAAGGCTTGTCGTTCGCCAGCAGGTAGATTCATAACGTTCTTCTTCATAGTCCGCATTTGGATCAGCTGCAACTTACACGGTCAACGACTTTTACTCAACGGAATACTTCTAGAAACCTACAACTGCTATCGTATCCACCGCTCTACCAACCTCCCTCTGCTGCTCTCAGTGTTCTCACGCTTCCATGCATCCATGGTACTGAGGACGCGAGAGAAACATCACAATCTACTAAAACAACGTTTGAAAATATTAAAGAGGCTATTGGACCACATACTTAAAATATCGTTAGAAAGATTCGAATTAAGTGAAAATATACTAGACTGCGCCACGTTAGAAGAGTAGTGTGTTATCCTGTTCTAACGAACTTCCTTTTCTTTGCCAGATTTCCTTCCTACCTGCTCTGATCCGACCTAAAATGTATTGGCAATCCATCGACACACACCAAGCTGAATTCAGTATCTAAATTGTTGCCACGACTGGTAGCATAGGTCTTGTCCCGCTGAGGTGAGGGCGTGTCAGCGAGGCGGGGTTTTGGCGCGCCCGCAGCTCGTTATCCACACAGTGTGAGCGAGTCACGCGTCAGCGGTATGGTGAAAAACGAGATGATACAATCCATATGATGGAGTCGTCAGTCGGCTTGTCAAAAAAAGAAAGATCAGAAGAAACAGCGCTGCGCGCTTGTCCCAGAACCCACCTCCTGACACGCCGCTTTAATCAGCAGCGAACAGACTGTATGCTATAATTGGAAGCAAACGCAGGTGACAAGACCTTAAAAAACTAGCTAAGAGTATATAGCTTTATAGAAAAGAACGGTTGGCTAGCAGAATTTTTGTCCTTTCCAAGATCAATGCACGCTATCATCTTGGAATTCCACAATTCCAAATATAAAAAGCGATAAACTTTTCGACTCACGTGAATTTTGATTATCGCTACGAGAAGAGGACTTGGCTGAATTCGCTTTAGATTCCTCGATGTACTCATCCACCAGCATCCTTACAAACGTAGTGGCCTAAACAAACAAGTGCAGAGCCCATACGAAGCATTAACGAAGAAACTTTTCTGATTCAGGTAAAAATAGCTAAAAATCGTGAAAAATAAACAAACTCTGGCATGGATAAACTCAAGATCGGCCAGGTCTACTTTTGCGTAGAATTCAAGGAAATCCTGTATCATAGCAGCGGCACGGCGCGGTCGTCGTTTTTGCAAACGTTCATGTAGTTTTCTGAAAAGCGATTTGAGCCTGTATGGCGTGTAATTCTCTACAATGTGACAAGTGTGCGGACCGTGTGGGCAAGAGAATCCTGCACATTAAAATGTCGAACCCACACCTGTAATATTCAGAATAGTCCAGGCTAGACACGCTCACTAACTCTGTGCGACAGTTTCCCTTTCAGTGTCACGATCGCGAAAGGAATTCATTGTGAAGCGGGCCTTGGTTCCGAAAATTTTTGGCCATCCTAGCCTGACATATAACGTTGGTGAGAAATCTGCTCTGGCTGTGCTTCAATCGTGATCCCGCAATACGCCCTATTAATCGCTGAGATATGATTGCGCTCAAATCACTCGCATTCTCAAACACTGTTCTTACCGTGGAATGGCTGGCGATTTCTGTTTAAAAGTTCAAGGAGTCAAGTTTCCACTACAGTAACACAGCTGGCGCTGCGTAATTCATTGAGACAGCGCTGAAAGACAAGCATGACTCCAAAGGTACGAAGTCACTCTCCGTAGCCCACTATTTTCAGTGCTAGATGAGATAATAAACAGTAATGTGCCAAAGTACAATTGATTTTGTTCCAACCATTCGGAGAGGGCGTCTTTGCGGGTTGGAATGAGCCCACCCTTGCGGCTTCCACCACTTGCTTTCTTTCTTAACTGATAGCCAGGTCACTAACCAGCTACCATCGGTTGAGCAAGACAGCCTTACCACCCTGACTGATTGCGATGCTATCGACTGAATAAGTAGTCAACGTACCTCTCAACAGATTTCCGTTCCACCTTCCGCACTGAATGACCTCCATCCTTTCGTGGACGACCACGAGGTCTCCTGAAATAATCCTTCGCTTTGCTGAATGCTGCGAAAACGCTAGAAGAAGCGGAATTTGAATTATTGAACGAACCCTGTCTTGGGAGGAGAAATGATTTCTCGGCTTTTCCTCGGCCTTCCTCTACCTTTCCTGAAATTCGGGAATAAGGAAACTGCACTTGTGTCAAATAATATAAAACTCACTTCTCATATGGGCCACGCTTTCCGGAATTCAAGGGAGCCGGCGGCTGTTTCACTTCCTCCGTTTCCATACTCATTGGACTGGACTTTTCAATTTTCTCTTCAACACTAGATGAACCACCCTCCAAAGACGACAACGGTCCACGAACAGGAGTGGTCGCCACAGTCTCACAACGATTAGACGTATCAGATGAATTTTTTTCTTCGCTCTTCCTAGACCCCTTTTTGGGTGAAGACTCTTTCGGGAGCGGTACTTCTTTGCCGTTTCCCTCCTCTTCCTCAACTTCTTCTTCGTCGTCTTCTAGACGGCCATCTATACTGCCATAATTGAGCAAGACCATTTTGTGAAAATCGTTCGATTCAGGCTCGCCATTGTCAGCTCCAAACAAAGAAACCTCCATGGATTGTGGTTCAACTCGAGCTGCAGCTTCAACTTCAAGGTGATCTTTCAGAATTGGAATTGGCGGCGTCGCTGGGAAACTTTCGATCCCGTTTGTAAGTAAGATGGAAGAATGAGAAGCCTCGACCTATAATAACGATATGCATGCATTCTTTCTGACCAACACAGGAAAAATTACACATCAGAATCTGTTTTGCTTTATTTAGCACAAATCTGAGGAGCACAATGGCACGTAACTCATAACTCAAAATTATAAGTCGTAAAGTCAAAATTTTATGGGCGCATAGAACGATAAGATTCTCAATAAAAAGTCCATAGAGACGAAGTCACAACTATGGGAGCCCTAAATGTTCTCATGAAATGGGCGACGTTAAAAAAGCCGTCTCTGGTACAAAGCAGTACAGAGCCCGAAAAAGCGCGCCATCACCACCCCGCCAGCTAGCGATATTTCGAAACGTTCACTGATCACAATCAAAATCTTCTTGCAGTTGCGAAGGGTTAACATACCATCTCACCACAAAATTGCTTCCATCTACGCCAGTTCCTACTGTTGGGGAACATTTCTGAAAATTACGACCCCCCCCCCCCCACAAAACTTCTCCTCTTCTCCCCCAACTCTGGAACTTCTTCTCCCACAACTTCCTCCTGCACGACCCCATCCTACGTACATCCCCAAACTTCTACATTCCCACCGATTTTCTCAGAAAGCAGAAATTCCACTCCCAATTCCCCCAGCACAAAAAAGTTGCCGTCGAGCGGAAGAAGTGGGGGGGGGGGGGTAGCATACCTGAAATGGGAAAATCCAAGTAAAGTCATCGATCAAAATCCTTTTCATCGGAGACAAATATGACCCTCACTCCTTCCTGCAACAAAAGAGGATTCCCCACTCCCATCAGTGCAGGTGCCCAACGTACGACGTGCACTTTCCCCTCACATAAAATGGTGAAGGGCCACTGAGCTAGCTATAGCTTGCCGACTAGAAGCCAAAAAGAAAATGCGGAACTTTTGAGACTTTTGAGTTTTTTGGAATAAACTTTTGGAGTTTCACATTGTTAATATACATAGTTCACGATGGCAGAGTGACGGTTATGACGTTCAGATATGAGCCACAACGAACTAACAAAAATGGGCTGATAAAAAAAAACAGAAAATAGGTCGAAACGCCCCACGTAGCACCCCTTCACACCCGAATCATGACACGAGCCGGCGCTTGGATTAAGCACTGTTATTGGCCCCGAACACCTTGAAAACTTCAAGCAGTATAGATCAAAGTCATGCAATGGACATCTAAGATAACAAGAATAATCGCGTTCAGTCGTAAAAAAATGCTAAAGTAGACATTGGCACGAGGTCATAATTTACAAATGGAGTCAAAACGAAAACAGGACACCTATTGGAAGCAATTTAACCATTGTAGATTTAGAATTGACAAGAAAAAAATAACAAACTGGAAAGTGCTACTTTAAACCTTGAAATTCTGCAAACAGAAGTACATCGAGAACCATCTTGGTCAGCTCGACGGAAACCAGAGGTAACCACAAAAATTCCAAAAGAATACCTGCGATTGCTCCGTTTCTTTCTGGCTTCATAGGTGTCCGCAAGTCCTGCAAGTCCGTTTTTGCATTCACAGTGGCAGTATTTCTGGAATAATTACGCAGTAAGTATAAGAGCACGTGGTATAGAAGGGATTAGAGTTTGGTTTCATGGGCTAATATGGGGAAATGG